CGAAGTCTTTCGGATAATGTGTTATCGCGTAGATAACCTCTGGTACTCTTTATCTCTCCGTAAAGTTTTATTATAATCGGTTCAGCTACTCTTAAGATTAGCTCTGACAAACAGACAGACCGACAGACAGAAAGACAAACATTTTTAAAATGTTTAAGCTAAGCTCCTAAGCTATAAGGTAGTTATTTCAATATTACAGTCAGACACAGAAATTTTAATTATATGTTTAGATTATTATAAAATAATTTAATACGATAATTATTTCCTAATTAACTTTTATACGACCGTTGCTGAAATTTATAAAATAATTAAGGGTATCAAAATAGCTGGTTCATTAATGTGAATCTACCCAAACACATGCTACCTTTACAAAATTCGCCCTCGGCGTATTTTTGCGAACGCTGTGTCGCCGAGTATTAATTAAGCTTAACTTAAAAACTGAAAAGGGCATGGTAAGAGTTTTAGAAATTTGTTTTTATTTTTTAATAATTAATTAGGGAGCTAAGTATGTTATGTGAAACAAAATAATCCTCATCATCATCATAAATAAACATAATAAATTAAAACGACTTAGGGTCCTTCAAGAAAAGAGCTTACTCCTTTCTAAAAGGCTGGCAACGCACTTGCGGTTCCCCTGGTGTTGCAGTTGCGGCAGTTGTTGCAGTTCAGGGGCAGAGTTAGTCACTTACCATCAGGTGAGCCGTTTGCTCGTTTGCACCCTCCTTTGCTCCTAAAAAAATGTTAAATCCGAAATGATGGCACCGTCGATATCTGTCGAGCATGACGTCATTCCGGCGAGTAACTGAGGCATGTTTATTAGGGTTGTTCGGCGCATTCTAACTCCAAGTATTTGCTAGTAGCCAGGATCCTACACTAGGTCTCTGGGATCGGAAACTGTGTTATTATAAATACTCGCCGGAAGCTGTCCTCGTAAATGGCCGTGCCAGAGAGAGAGAGAGAGATCGCGCCGTAATCACAGACTTGCGAATAAGCCTTATATTGTTTTAGTAAACCGAACACAGTCAAGGATATTTTGTTCGATATTACCATTTTATTTTTTATAGAATGAAGTCACAAATTTATAGAATACAGTCTACCTCATGTAAGTGGATGCTGTGGCATAGACATCTACATTCATCCTAAATTACGAATCAAAATGCAGATGCATTTTCGTCTTTGACGAATAGTACGGAATGCCTCGTAACCAGTAAATAGGGTCTCCGGTTCACTATACTCATCATACGAAATACAGCAGTAATAAGCTGCTATTTTAAGCTGGTATTCTGTGAGAACGAGGTTCTCCCTCGGTCGAGCCGACCTATCTGTGCTATATTATTCATATGATGAGAAACCCGAAACAGACAAGAAAACAAAATATAGCCCGGATAGACAGACAGACTGACATACAGAAAGAGAAAGATACGCAAATATTTTAAAAATGATTATACATCATGTCATAATGGCATTCAAATAATCCTTTTAAATATTATATAAGACAGTTATTTCGGGTATTACAGACAGAAATTTCAATGTATATATAGATATATAAAAAGATGTCGCTGAGTTGTCACTACGAGAAAACCACATACCAATAGTACTAGATCTATGTGTTCCAATTAAACTGCTTTCAATCTCTTTCACTCAAAATATTGCAGCAAATCTGGATATTTGCTTTATTGTCCTATTGTCAACAAAAAGCTACTTTTCATCTCCGTTTTAATGATACACTCGAAATCATTCTTCTAATTCTTATTTTACTGTAACGTATGTCTAATACTGCTTAAAATTATTTTTTTAATATTATTTTAAATTGAGAAAGAAAAAAATTGTAGCTATTTGCTTAAACAAGAACATTGACAACCATGGCATGACAATAATCCAAATATCGAAGTTTTTCAAAGATTAAAATTTTAAGATAAATATTTCAGATTAAAAATAAGAGGCTCTAAAACGTCAGGAATTAAAAATTTATTAATATTAAATGCCATAAGATGTGAAAATGAGATTTATTCAATGTGACGTTATATCGAAAAAATTGTGCACATTTAATTAAACGTAATTATTAAAGTCACATGAAAATTGTATAAAAATAATCATCGCAGTTATCAAAACTAAGAATTTTTTTAAAACGGTTACGATGTATTTTTTGGTAGGTTTATTAAAAAATTTGAACAAATCTTTAATATAGTTTTTCTTGGAGGCTGGCTAATTAAATGATAATCGATAAACCTTGGGAAGGAATCCTGCAAATTCCGGTCCTAATATTGACTTTCTCAGGTCAGACCCGAGTTGGACCTAATTAATTCATAAATTGGACTTTTCATCAATCGATTTGAAAGCACTTGATACAGTGTATATTCCAATTACAATTTATATTTGTAATTATAATTATATTCGTAACAGTATCGTAATGTCAAATTTACATCTTAGAAAAGAATGTCTCTTTTTGTCTTCAAAGCTGTACCAAATATAACAGTAGTCCGAAGGATTTATAAAAGTTTCATGAACTGTCCAGTATAAATCGTCTCACGGATGAAAGTACGTTTCAAACAAAATGTTACAGCATTTTGTGTCTGGAGAGGTCCTTGTGTGACATGAATAGCAGTTGTCTCATTCACCTCGAACAGTCAATGACTTAAAGATTTTATACATAAAGCCACGAATTTTGAATCCCAGATGTTATCCTTATTTGAATAAGACGAATTTTTGGTTTTTTGATGTCACTTAATGCGTATATTAAAAGAATTTTGGCTAAATAGCCCATTTTATTCAAATTTAGCTTTTATTCCATTATACATTCAATAATAATTATTTCAATGTAGCGAATTGTTAGACGTCTTTTATAGCCTGAAGCGCAAATATTACTCCCCTTCTATTACATTGTTATTTATTATATTTTAATTTGAAGCCGAACCGCTCTCGCAAACCGCTGTTTTTGTTTAATATTGATATTAAAACAATTGAAAACTTGAACAAGCTCAGAGATGCGTAACTTAATAATCTTATAATAGAAATGCTAATTAGCTATTGTTTGGCACATATGGCGTAAATATTTCCAGTTTGCTCAATTCTATGTTAAATTAAATATAATTATATATAATATAAATAATAACATAATTTGCAACCCTCCTGCCACAAAAATGTACGAAGTATGCCTATGTTCATCAGGGCGAGCAATAAATAAACTGTGACTTGATATAATATGTACTTGCAGATCGTTAAATAATGTGAGATTTGGAAAATTCATCATTCATCTGATGATGAATTTTATTACGAGACCTTCGTTAGTCAGTTCTAACTTGGTATAGTCCTACCTTGGTATAAAAATGAATACTATGAAGTATCTAGTAATGCCGTGTAGTGGCGACTAAGAGGACCCACTATATCTCGACCCGTAGGTGTCGTAAGAGACAACACGACAAGACAAGACTCTGAAAATGTTCGTGGGCAACAGCATCTTCCTGATAACAACTCAATAATAAAAATAAATAAAAGGGCGTTGTGGTCTTTGTTCAAAGAAGGTTTTTTTATAAGATAAGGATGACAAACGAGCACACAGTCCACCTGATGGTAATTTGTCCTTTATCCATCATATTTGTTTTATAGAAGAGGAGGCAAACGACTACTCACTTCTTTACAAGATGGTAGATCTGTTTTATGCCTAAGAATGGCGGGATATGTTCCAACCTTTTCCCTATTTCTGTCGCCAAATAGCAGTGTTTACATTGTGTTCCGGTATGAACGGTATAGAAAGCCAGGCTGTGAGTTAGTCCATTTAGGTCCTCAGAGGTGACATGAATCTGCAGCCTTCTTTATTTGCAGCAGATGTCCATACACTCCAGTAGTTATTTATCATAAGGTGAACTGTGGCGTTCCTTTATTATCTCAGTTTTATTTAAAAAAAAATCTTTTCTTTTAATATCCATCAAATTTATGCGGCAAAATAATAATTGAATAAATACATACAATAAGTGTTACGACATTATAGTGGATTTAAGTAACTCTTAAATATTTATTAACTAGACATTTGTATTGATATATGGACTCTCTACCGCTGAAAGGGTATAGCAGCTCCTCATGAACCGCCCTGCAGCAGAGATCAACCAATTTGTGACCTTCTATTCACAGATACTAATACCACACCACGTTGGGTTCGGGAACAACGAGGAGGGCGTGACCCCTGAGAAGATGTGTCACTCAGAACCAGTCTGCGCTCTCTCAAAAGAAAGGTTAGACATCTAAGAATACGGGTCCTTATGGAATCGTCCCGGTCTTGACGTCAGTCATCAGTGGACTGCATTTTCTTGCGAATGGAGTTGATTCGATAAACACCAATTATTCTTCATAAATCCCCCTTTGGATATGCGACATTAAAAATTTCACTACTTTTTCCTATCACTTTTCCTTATTGTTTTCTTTCTTGATTTAAACTGGAAACTGGTAGCTGGTCCCGAACGAATTTCCAATTCTAAGCATACCACGCAGCCGGCTGCGAAGTTATGTGGAACTCACTATGAAACCTAAGTGGCTACCCACAAAACACCACCTGCGACTGGCTTTGGCCTGGGCCTTTCCGCCGAATCGGAAGCGACCCAGGTGGCAGTCCAGGTCGGCCGAAAACTTTTTAGAGGGGTCTGCTCACGCTCGCAGGGCAGTCGCCGTTGGTGAGTTTTTCGCTTTTCACTTACCGTCTTGCCCCCCTGCCTCCTGGCGGGGAGGTTTGACCGCTCTTTATTTTGTTATTTTTCTTTTACTTTTTTATTGTTATTTTTCTGTTACTTTTTTATTGTTATTTTTCTGTTATTTCTCTGTTTTGTTTTATTATTGTTATTATTTTTGTGTTGTATACTGTTTCTTGGATACGTCTCTTGTTCTTTTCAGAACAAGCACCTGTTCTTTTGAGAACAGGGATCCCCCCCTTACTGTCATACTTAGAACGTCGCCCCCCCCCCCAATATGTCCACACTAGAACTTATTAGGTAAATCCTCTCGCCGCAATCTTGGCCTCCCTTGCCCCTCAGGCATGTCCTCCCCGGCCCCCGTCGCATCCTGCTCGGCGGTGCCTACGGCTGCCCCGCAGACCGATCCGCCCGCCGTCCTTCGACTCCAACTCCATAGAGTGCTCAGACTCCGCGTCAATGACCTCGTCCTCTCGGAAGAGAATACCCTCCCAGACCAGTTCCTCAAGTAGCTGCTTCGCGGATTCCGTCGGAATAACGACTGGAGATAATTCCTTCACGAAAGTGACATCTAGGCGCGGCCTTAAACGCGCAGCGAAAAATATCCCCCCCCCCCCACGTCCCGGTAGCCCCCGCTGCCGTCTCTTCCCCCGAAGCCCCCGCCGCTGCCTCGGTCCCCCTAACGTCGTTAGACATCCCCCCGCCGACGAAGCCAGCATCTCGCTGCGCCCCTACCCTCGCCAAAAAATAGGTCCCGCCTCCAGCCTTTCTCAGAAACAAGGCCAAACTCACCCGCCTTTCCAAAACCTGCTACGACGCAGGTATAAAATATGAACAGGCCACCAACGTTGATGCAGACATAAAAATCATCCCACAGTCGATCGACGACTTTCGCCGCCTTACCAGGCTTTGCACAGCCGAGCTTGTGTCCTACCCCACGTACGCTCTTCCGGAAGAGCGTAATGTCAGGGTGGTAATTCGTGGGGTTCCGTTTGACTCTCAAATGACGACATCCTTGAGCACCTTAATTCCCAAGGATTCCCAGTGGAGGCTATGAACAAGATGCACAGCGGCAAGGGCAAGAGGTTCCCGCTTGCCCTTGTAATTCTGACCAACATGCCGCAGGCAATATCCATCTTTCAGCAGGTACACACAGTGTGCGGCCTGTCGAGAGTGAGGGTTGAGCCGGTTTTCCGGCGCAGTGCCACCGCTGCCAACTTTAAGTGCCTAGATCCACACAGCTCGAAAGCGTGTCCTCTGCCACAAAACGCCGAATCCCCACCCGCGTGCATCCTGTGTCAGCAGTCTGGCCACCCGCCAAATTACAGAGGGTGCCCTCGCGCTCCTCATCTTCGTCCCAGCAAACAAGCTCCACTGCCGCTCAATGACAGGTCATTTCCGGCCCTCCCCGCAAGAATGCCCCGCCAGGGCCTTTCCCAGCCCCTTCAGGGCCTCTCATGGCCCACTCAGGGTGCCCCAAGGCCCCTTAGGGCCCTCTTCGGCCCCCTCCAGGCTTCTCTCAGCCTTCACAGCCTCCAGCTTTCTGCTGAGGCCCCAAAAAAGCCGACCATCAGCAGACATCACAGTCCCCTCGGTGTCACTCACTATCCCGACAACATCGACCACGCTCCTGACGTGCTAGACTTTTCGCTTGTTAAAGGATTTTCCCTCAACCTCAGGGCAATCGAGACTCTAGACGATCCAGGATCCGACCACCGACCGGTCTCCCTCATTAGTGGCCATCAGCCATCTCCCTCAACCCCCTCCACAAAAACCTTTACTGAATGGAAGGGCTTCAAGGAATCCCTAGCCAAAGCTATGGACTCAAAGGACTCCACCATCTCCCTCTTGACAGTCTCCAAAAAATCGACACCGCGGTCGATTCTCTCTCCACCCTTATAAAATTCTCCCCTAAGGAGAAAGAAAGGGTCGTTACGGTTGCTAATAATGATGGTCTTTCTCTACATATTAGCAACCTAATGAAAGCCAAGGGAGCTGCTTTCCGGAGAGCAACATTCTATCCGAGCCCCGACTATAGGCGTACGGCCAATCATCTTCAACGAGAAGTCCGTTTACGCCTCTACGAACTTCGAGACCTCGAAAAGAGTAATCTCATGGAGCATATTTCTCCCTCTAATACAGCATACTATCAGATGGCGCGAGCCCTCCGCATAGACGCTATCACCCAAACTCCCCATCTCTCCCGTCCCGATGGTACTATTGCCTTCGAGGATGAGGAAAAGGCTGAGTGCTTTGCAGACAGCATTGCCGCTCAATGCTTTCTTAGCTCTCAATCCACTGATTCCTCCCACATCCAGACAGTGGAGGATCAGGTCCGCCGTCGGAACTCACCCCCACAGCCTCTGGGGGTGATTCACCCTATTACTGTGTCCAATGATGAGTTCTCATCCCTCATCAAAGGACTGAAACCTAAAAAGGCTCCGGGCTCGGATGGCATCTCCAACCAAGCCCTTAAACACTTTCCTGAGCAGGTGTTATTCCTTTTAGCGATTATCTTCAACGCCTGTTTCAACCTTAGCTACTTTCCCACCACGTGGAAAGAGGCAACTGTCATTGGTATCCTCAAGCCAGGAAAGCCTCACAACCTCCCCTCCAATCATCGTCCCATCAGCCTCCTCAAGGCCATGGGCAAACTCTTCGAACGAGATATCCTTACTCGCATAAGGCTCCATCTGTTTCCAAGACGGCGACCCTCTGGTCATCCCCCACCAATTTGTTTTCCGAGCGAAACATTCTTGTTCCCAACAAGTTCACCGTATTGTGGAATATATCCTTAGCGGTTTCTATTCTCGTCGTCATAAGACCATCGCGGTCTTCTTCAACATAGCAAAGGCATTCGATGTGTAAATTACAGCTATCTCTGTTCATTATATAACATTATTTATTTACATATGTTATTCTTATCTAGCCATTATGTAACTTATCTCTTATCACAAGAATAACAATATTTTTAACTAAAACAAGTATCTAATTGAATGAAACTCTTTAATAGCCGATTACTATGTAACACACGACTCAAAAATTATTATATAAACAAACTTTTGTGGAATTAACTCTCGACCGGGGAATCGAACCCCGGACATTCGCATGACAATCGAATGTTCTTATCTATTTAATTTTAACATAGATTGTTCTTTAATTTGGAAATATATATAGGTTTAACATAAAAATATGATTTTTTCTGAAAATTGCAAATTTGAATAATCTTTTAAGCGCGTCGCCAACAACCGCCTCCCCGAAGAAGTCATTTACAATTAAGAAATTAAAATGGGTGATATTTTTGCTACAGTTTTGTTTTTGTGCATACTGTTTTTGTATATAGACAAAAGCTTGAAGTAAGTCCAGAATAGCACATATTATGATACTCGGTCTGCTCGGTGATGCTTAGACATGCAAATTTTTTTCTAAAAATTATTCTCAGTCATGCAAGTTAGCTTGAGCTGTGTTCTAGGTGTCGCACAAATTTTTACGAAATTAGAATAGAATTTTGAATTAAAAAAAAAATAAGTTTTATAAAATTTATAAAATTAATTATTATATTTTTTGTCTAAAACAGCAAAGCTATTGACATTTAATAATTAAATGGGTGTGACAAGCGAACGCACAATCCACCTGATTGTAAGTGCATGTGCTGTGGCACAGACATCAACATCTATCCTCGATTAAAACTCAAAATGCAGATGTCCAGTCACCCCTGAGGCCTAAGATGGAATGCCTCGTTTCTTTTAAACAGGGTCTTATAATGAATTTCATACAAAACACACATAAAATGCTTATTAACATAGCCCCTTGAAAGCCCATTCTTGAACAAAGATCTTCCTCATGGAATGCCACAAAGTGCAGTCCTGAGTGACCTGCACCCAGTTATTTCCTGCATGTCTTATCGTCACTCCATCTAGTAGGGAGAGGAAAAGTTACGAAGCTGGAACTCGAAAACCTTTCGTCCCCGTCGAGTGTTGGTTTTATGAACTATTTGGCCGGCCCATTTCCACTGCAGATATCTCTTTTTTGTACGAGAGGGAGCGAACGAACATGCAGCTTGACATTTCAACCGCCGCCCATAAACAACTGCAATACTAGAGGAATTGCAGATACTTTGCCAGCTATAAAAAAGAAGTAAGCTCATTTTTTGAAGGTCTCTAAGTCTTATCAGTTCGGTAAAATCACAGGTGGTAAAAGATTCCACATAGTCAGTCGCGCAAGGAAGAAAACTCCTAGTAATTCGATATGAATAAAATATGTGTTCATAATTTTATATATCAACAGCTATTCGTATGAGCCTCAACTTTCAATCAACAGGGTTCTTTGCGTATATTTTCTAAATAAAATTGGCATATGAAGAAAAATATAATTTCCATCACAAGTATCATTATTTTAAATTGCCTTTTAATAAATTTGCTAAAATTTTTATAGAATAAGGGTAATACAGGAGCACACATTACACCTGATGGTAAGTGGATGCAGCTAAGACTGGCTAATACTAAAACACTACATAATTTTAAGATGTCGTTAAACCTCGTGGTGTCACAGTCAATTAAAACGATAAAGGCAGCAGATATACATATATATCTTTCATGAAAAATAAAATGTATTGACGTTGACACTTCTAAGAATTAAGATAGTATGTCTGGTAACAAGTAAAACGAATCTCCGGTTCTTTACAGTCGCTATACGAAACACAGCAGCATGAAACTGCTATTTACGCTGTATTTTGTGAGAGCGTGATCCTTCTTCACTAGAGCTGACACAATCGTACTGATACCATATTAGGCTGCAGCGTGGTTCTACCACGTTACGTAGCTTTTGATGTTGGAAAAAGTTTGCAGGGATAAGTATTTACCTTGAACGTATTATAAGCCTGTTATAGACTACAATTCCAAGTGATGGTAAGTAGTTGTGTAGGCCTAAATGGTAAATCGCACTGTCTTAGCGTTACAGAGCGTATTCTCTCTTGTTTTAAGACATTCACTTTGTGATTAAAAAGGAAAGTCAGAGTCACTTCATCCTTTGTAATTTTCAGTGACAATTACAAAAGATGAAGCAATCCATTTCGTTCAAATGCATGCACTGAGCGTCTGGTTCTTCGGTGGTGGAAATGGGAGAGAGGAATCACCAAATTCCTGTGCACACTCCCCTAATGTATCCTCCAAATATCAAACTCATACACGCACATACACATACATATATATAGAATTAAATTATAGAATATTTCAAAACAATCCAGCGGCTTAAGCTTAAAAATACATAATTTAGTAGAACAAATCCCGAGACAGGATCATCTAACGCTGACAGAACAATGATAGTATTTTCGCTTCAGCATATTGTGTATTGTTTCAATATGTGTTTGACAGAATCGATTTATACAAATAGAGGCTACCGCTTTTTTTTTTAAAGAAAATAGTACGGGCCTTTATCGTGAACACACGAATGAAAAGGAATGAGTTGGCGTATATTTTATAGACATTATTTAATGTTTCTTAAATTTTTTCAGACCTTAGCCAGATTTTTAACCAGTATAGTGGAGGGAGTTTACATACTTAAATTTCACAAGGATTAACAATAATTCGCTATATAAATGTTTATGGTATTCGAACCCGAGGCCCTTAGCGCCGCAACTCATTGCTGAGTCACTGCGCCTCGCAGAAGTCACCGTTCAAAATAATTATTGTAATAGGGTTATTATTTTTTTAAAGCTGGTAGCAGTAAAGTTACGCATTTACGCAGGTAAATGCGTACCTTTGATATCCGTAGCGTAAACAATAAACCCACTAGCACAACGGTTCAGTAAGCTGGTGTTAATAGGTGGTAGAAATAGATCGAATAACTAACAACCAATAGGGTAGAATGATTTTCGAGTGACAGCCTCGTATCAGTAAGGAATGTATGGTTGCTATCTAGATGGGGTAATGACCTGGTTTAATATCTAGAAAACCGATGGAAACAGGTCGCTCAGGTGCGTGTTAATACTATATCTTGATTGAGACGGCTCCGTGGCGCAGTGGCTTAGCAATGAGTTGTTGCGCTGGGGGCCGCGGTTTCGAATCAAAAGTATTTGCATGGCCTACAAATAATTGTTCCGGGTCTGGATGTTTGTGCTCGTGCAATTTATATATGTAAACTGCCTCCACGATACAGGAGAAAATCCTAGTGTGGGGGTAACGTTTTTTAGGAAAAAAAAAGAAGGGCTTTGAACATAGACTATGGTATGTGAGGGGCTATAATAATGATGACGATTATTATGAAATAGATATACAATTCAAAATAAATATATTTTAAAAGCAATAATGAAATAAAACCATCGTATCATATTTATATACATATATATATATATATATATATATATATATATATATATATATATATGTTA